CATACAACGCGGACAACGAACGGGCCATCCGGCCAACTTCCAATGGCCGATAACTCACTGAGTCGGTGCTCATCCGTGATAAGCCGAGCGGTCCGGACGGCCGGCGGAAAGGGCCCGCGAATCCCGGCCGACCGGGCCACGGTGAAATCGCCCATCACCGGGCAACTTTCATCGATTCAACAACCGGTTTGGGCCGCGCCGGCCGGCGGCCAGACAGCGCGCCGCGCGAGCCGCCTCACTCTGTTGGTTAAACAGCTGCAGGACAACGGCCGCCAGTCAACAATGCACAAATGCAATGCACGGTACAACACAGGACAGTCCACATTGTAAACCTTAAGTCACGCTGCCGGGAAATGAATCGCGGCGTTCGCGAAAGGCTGGCTAAGGCTAAGATGGCTAAGGATATAGGGACGAAGGCAGTGTGTGTCGTTAAAGCGATAAAAACAAAGGGCCCATGATGTCACAGTTGCACCTCATGGAACCTTCAAATGGCCCACACTATCCGTTTTGAGTAGACGGCTGCGCCACAACTGGACGTGCAACGTCCGCCATGGCTGAGTGAACGGGCCCCAAATTAGACTAAGCCCTGCGCTGCGCCGAATGTCAGGCGATGTCGCGTCCTTCCCCTCCAAACCGACCCTGGTCCTCGAGCCCACGGGCGGTTCTGACGTCACATTAGGGGCCCGGAAGGGACGCAAGCAGGTAGGGACGGCGCTGACGGATGCGGTGAGGACGGGTCTCAGTCCGTTACCAGAACACCATTCACACCTCTGCTGCTTAATGAGCCTGGGATGACAATGACTTCGCAGTTGACGTGGCCCTTGACCGCAAATAACAAACCGGCTATGCGTTCTTGGCTTGCGGTAAGGATAGCTGTACGAGAACCAACACCGGTGCCATGTGTCACCAAAGAAGGCGACCCGTGTCAGTCCGTTCAGGTAAGGTCCGATGAATGGCGCCCACCCCTAGCTCTCACCACACCAGGCGGGACCGAGCCGGAGACAGCGGGACCTGATGGACGGCCACCACCCATCCACCGTCGAAGAACTGTGGGAAGCCAGTCACCACCTCTACCAACACTGACCAATCCCGACCAAAATGGCTCGCAACCGATGTAACCAAGGGAACAGCAGGGACGTTACGGCATCGCTATTTATTCTGCGGCTATTTATTTAGGTATTTTTTTATTCTGCCCCACCAGATCCAGTCAGACAGCATTTGAGATACAGACATCAAACAGTATTTGCGTTTTCTGCTCAGGCCGGTTGGAATCGTAGGCATGCTGAGAGGATTCAAGGGTTTCCCCAATTTTCAGCTGGCACCTGCAGATCAAAAGACGAGATCATATGCCTCGGTCGTGACTTCAAATCACATTTCACACCACAGTAGACCATTGGATTCACCCAACAGTGCAATGTCCGTCAAAGGTTATTTGATGTATCTCTTGGGGAAAAACCAGATACATGATTGACCTTCAATTGACCTAAAAGCGAACCGCAATGCGACAGCCACCAGCCGGATATCAATGGAACATCAAATGTAATTAACTAAAGCCCACGTCGCCGGCGGCGGCAGTTCTGATACACGGAACCGACTCAACTGTGAACCTTTGAAGCCGCTCAGCGCAAACAAGCAAGCAATCAGAACAAGTCAGCTACCCGGCAGAGCGTTTCAAAGGAAACATCGCGGACCGCTTTTCTGCAGCTGGAAGTGCAGTGACACACGTTGGTAGCTCGGGTCTAATCCATTAGGCTGACGACAAACCCGGAGACGGTGCAGCTATAAACAGTGCGCCCGCGGGGAGGCAGACGGGGATGAGATGTTGCCCGGGCGAGGATGTCGCGCAATGTCCCCAAACCTACACGAGCTTGGGGTCGAGCGAGTCCCTCTAGGTTTCTGTTAGCCTGATCAGCATGCCAGAGCGACCCCGAAAACACGGCGGCCGAGACGCATCCAATCTCCTGCGTTCACCAGCCGCCCACCGGTCGTCCAAACACCATGCATACATTACACGGTGTCTGGGGACGAGATTTTACCCAGCAGCATTTCGGAATCGCCAATTCCATCTGGACACACGAGCTGGAATATATAACATTACACTAGAGACGCTATTTAGATATGAAATGACCACGGGAATGATACTAAACTAGAGGAAAATAACGGTTATGAGCAGGGAAGACGTGGTCACAAGTCTGTGCAGCGACATGGGTACCATTTGGACGCGAGTTAAAGTGAAATGTGAAAACTGTCCAGTAACCACTAAGCTGAGTACATTCCTGGAGTTGATGAGGTAAAATGGAGCCATTGCGGTGGCTTCGCCAAAAGAGAATGAATGGTTGGAATGGGGCTTTAGTAGTCTTGTCATTGCTTTTAAGCATCAAGTCTAGCGGCATTGCACAGTTACTTTTAACGATTTCAGATCCATCAACTATCAAGTCTACATTAAATATACCTACATGATCCATCGATAGAAAAAGTGATTATTGACTCCAACGACCCGATGCCGATAGCTCCCAGTAAGTAATCATTACCTGTGTCCCATTCCCCCACCCCGATTTCGGGGATCCGTCTGGATTGTTATGCATTGTCTGACGTCTGTGCATTGTCCGTGCAATGTCCGTGCAGTCCGTGCAGTGTCCACTGTCCGTGCAATATCCATGCAGTTTCTGTGCGGCGCGTGCAGTTGGGTCGTGACTCCAGAGGGGCCGCGCTACGCACGATCACCACCGGGCCGGCCAGTAACCACCTCCGTGGTCCCACCGTCCAGCAAGGGCACGGCGCGTCGGCGACCGTCACGCGCTACTAAACTACCGAGCACGCCTGTGTGAGACCAGATACTGCCGTGGTGACTGCTGCGCTGCATGATACAAACACTGTCCAAAAATCGCTGTACCAATTACCAAGTTGCTTTCGCTCCAGCAGCACCCATTGCAGCTGCTGCATTGAGGGTACACCCGGTCTCCCGCGCAAAACAAGACGTCAATGGCCCAAATTACTCATAATTGAACATAATTAAAGATGTCAGACCTCTTGCAACCAAATTTTTCGGACCGTATCCCTTCCTTCCGTTTTAAAAGGAAACGGCACCGTGTCGTCATCTGCACACACCTTATGAAGCTGTCCAGCTTGCTGACTCATCAGGTGGAAGAAATCCTCGGCACACGACCTCACACCAATAACACCGCCAACGCGCGAGGGGTTGGGTTGGGGTGCGGCCGGGGACCTCTGCAGACGCCGGAGTGGAACGAACTGCGAGCGACCGTGGCCAGTCATCCAGTTGATTCAGGCGTGCCACGTTGATCAGTCCCTCGCGAGCGCACGCATTAGGGCACAGCGGGAACGCTGAGCGGGTGAGATGTGAGCTGAGTATCTGCGCAGCAGACAACTCGAGGAGGACGTTAGGCGTACAGCGTGACCTATACGTTCTCACAGACATATTGGAGAGGGTCGGAATTATGCGTGGTTATACGCGGGTGACTGTGACGTTCTTCTCTCATCGCACGCAGAGACGCTGGTGGCTCCCACGTCATGGACCGGGGTGGCAATGCGCCCGTGAAGGGTGGGCGTCCATCTGGGTGGTCCACCGAGAGGAGTGGGTGAGACTCACCCAGGCGCTTGGAGCGTGAACGTGCGATCAAAACATGCCATACACACCAGTGGTTTCAAATGGCGGTAAGTATAGGCGGGACATTCCAATGACTAAGGAAATTCCCGTATTAGCGACGGTTCTGACGCGCAGGTTTATGCGACGGTATCGGTCGTGTGAAGAACAAACCAAAAGATTACGTCAGAAATTATAACGCAATTGTACAGAATTACGGCTAAAAACAATAAAAGACTAGCGACAGTGGCAGTCACTTTTGACACAACAGTACAGAGCAAAAGTCGTACCAATCGGACCTCTAGATTCCCCGTCAGTCAGACACCAACGCACACAGTCGCAGCTAACGTGACATCTGCACTGACGAATCGTCCCTCGTTGAAGACCCGGCCACGTCCCTGGGCAGTCGTCACCGCCCGGGGCCAAGATGGCGCCGCCGTGCCAAGTGCTGCACCGTCAGTCGTCGAAGAGCCAGTGCCAGCCGCCGGCTCCGGAGACGTTTATCAAAGTCCCATTCGGGCGAGTGGCTCTCGGGGGATCCTCAGACCTCTCGGCGATATTAGCGCCGAGAAATGGGCTCTGATAACGCCCGGCGCCGGCCCCGATCGAGATCGCTCGGGGTTCTGTCTAAGTAGTTGAGTGGAGGACGGAATTGACAGCTGCGACCGCCGTCATTCGAGAGGTAATGAGGAGGGTGAGAAACAGACTCACCCGGCGCCTCATCAACTCGCCAAGCTACACCGAACCCAGCGGATCATCTCCCACCATCTTTCCCTACCGAGATAGCCCCCTGGGACACACGCTAGTGACCGGCGTGATCCGCCCTCCGACACCTTTTTCAGCCCGCCGCGCCGCGCCGCGCCAGTCGGCACAGTCCCGCTAATGGCAGCACCGGCTAAATGTGCCGTAAAATAGCTAAATCGACACCTCCATGGCAGTTGGCAGGCGGTAACTCACGTAAAATGAGCATAGCCCGATGCGATTCGGCCCGGTGTAAATTCTCGGGGTGAGTTATGAACGGCAAGGTTACCGGTCGCTGAGTGCGGACTAAAGCACGGGTCACAATGGTCCCCAATCGATGACACCGTCTGACCTGGCAACGTTCCCACGGCTGACCGCGGGAGGTACAATAGGTACAGAAACGTGACCTTACAGCGGGGATTCGCCCCATAAGCCTGTGGGCAGTACAAAGAGTACAATAACGTGAGCTTACAACGGGGATTCGCCCAGCGGCTGCTCGCGGGCGGTGCACTGCAAACCCGCGTACCGCGAGAGAATACGGAGGGGAATCCTGTCAGTCGTCATATCCTAAGAAGGCTGACCTGACCAAGAAGTTCTTTTCCTCCCTGTCTAAGGAGTTACCGAGACGGCTCGGCCATGGGATGGGACTCTGACTGACCTTTTGTTGACCTTGCGTTTGGTGAGCGTGCCTCGAAGCTCGTTCCTCTCCTGCGCCACCCGGTCCCGCTCCCGGAGAGCCACGTCCAGCGACTTGAGGCTCTCCGAGTCCCCACCAGAGGAGACGGTGGCCGGGGTGTTGGAACTCATCGCTGTCGGACGGAGAGGCGAGGTCAGTGAAGACGCGGGTTCACAGGAAAGGGTCACTGACAAGTCACTGTCACTGACATGACAGGTCATTGGATGGGAGGCACTGACGGGTCACTGATTTAGTCATTAAGAGCAGCGTTTACGAGTCACTATGAATGTCACTGACAAGTCACTGTATAAATGTCACTGACGAGTCACTGCTACTGGAAATACAGCGACACTGACCAGTGCCTGACCACTCTGGGTGCATTCACTACCACCTGGTTGGTGGGGGAGTGCTACAGGGAGCAGCCACCTGCACCTGACACCATACAGGCGGACAGCGGCCGACAGTGACCGTACCAGCGCGCGCTGCAAGAGTCATGTCACTGTCACCAGGTCGGCCCACAGCACTGCTTTGAGGCTATCCTCGCTGAGAAACTCAATGCATCACACAATCAGCCCACTTTCCGCAGAACTCAGTCACAGACACAAAGGGTTTGCGATAAATAATACTAACCGTAGTAAAATGTATGTAAGCCTATTTACCTAATTGTCTTGGTTCACAGGTGTGAACAACAAAGAGGAACCTTGGAGTTATATTAAATATGCAAACTTACACAAAAGTGCATAATGATAATAATGGCATAATAACGGTCAACTATAAATAATAACGGCAGTGAGAACTTGAAACATCTTTGCTAATGTATGGTGCAATTTAGACAAAAGAAGGCCCACCATCAAATGGCTGGAGGGAAAGTGAGGATTGAAAATGCCCGGGTATACCCAGTTACTATGTACTAGTAAGTCTACTGTCCCCAGGTATCGTGACAATCATGACTTATATATTTCAATATATTAGCAATTATGAATATGATATGGCACACAGACATATGATTAGTCATAACATGTAATGTGGCCTGATTTGCGGTATATCTAAGCCGCAATAACATTCATTCATACGGTTTAGATGTAACGTAGAGTTTAGTTTTTTTTTAGATTACCCGAAGGTTTGTTGTCAATAGTAAATACACTATTCGTTAGAATTGTGTTTTTCTATTGAAAAAACAAATCCGAGTTCCCTGCCAATTTGGCAAAAGCCACCTGAGATCAGTAGGCCCAAGGATATATGTGCGCCTTATGAGCGTTTATGTTTTAGTTTATCCCAAACTAAGGGAGGAGAGAGAAACTAAATGGGGGAGAGAGGCGCTATGCGATCTTTTGTCTGTGGAACGCATATGCCAATCATGTAAGGTTCGAAGGCACCCTCGGAATGCGTACCCCGAACTCGTGTTCTGTGTAGCTGAGGGTCCCAATATTTCCACAATTTGCCCTCCTGCCTATCTTCTTTCTCCACTACGGCCAACGGTGGAGTGCGTAACGCACTTTCGTAATTGCGTAATTACGTACACACGCCTGTACTTTGTACTCAATGTCAGCTACATGGACTTCCTCTCCCCGCTTGAACTATGGATCGGACTCCGCCGCCGGGGACGCTGCGCTCGGATACGTACCCGGAACATTCACCAGTGAGAAGGGCAGGGCAGAAGACGGACATACGAGTATTGTCACGCTGACATAGTTGACCTGTATTTACGTAGGTACTCAGCGAGGAAAGGCTGTAATATTACAGCTAACACAATCGCTGGAAAGGTGAAACAAACGAAAGGCTCGAGGCGAACCATGGACTATAAAACGACGACTAAGGACGTTCGATTACGGAAATTTCGTTTTTAAACTTATACGGTCGAAACGTTTCGGGGGGGGGGGAGCAAATATACAATTGACTCTTACAGGCTCTCAGAAGACTGTGGACCGGGCTGACTGGGTTCAAAACTCTGGAAGGTTGACTGGGTGGGTGGATAGATGTGAGTGGTTGACTACGGACGGTTGATTTCGGTAGGGTTGACTGTGGGTTTCAGAACAGGTTGGCTGTGGGCGGATGACTGTAGCAGGCGGCGCCTCGGCCGACTCGCGGCCCCGTGGCCCGTGCCAACCCTTCACGCGGTGACGCAATGCGGGCTGTTTGTTTGCGATTCAGCGCTGGCCGGTCGGTTGGCGGTCGGTCCGGTCCATCACTCCCGTCGGCCGGAGATCTGCAGCCAATGACGGCCGATGACGGCTGCTGACGGGCGCCGGTCAGCCGTCATCAAACCCGTCACCTCGTCAGATCAGCACCTCGGCTGACGGATTAGGCCCGTCCGTAATCCGGTCCCGAGGAGTGAGGGACGGGAGGGAAGGGAAGGGGCAATAACCGGCCCCCGTGGACGGGTGTTGAGAAATCGGTGCGGGGCGCGACTGGCAGAGTCGTTAGGTACACGGAGTAACGGGCAGAGATGGGAATTCAAGCTCGTTCATAGGACGTGTGATGGGTTAAGGAAGTCAGTTCGCTATTGACGACAATAGTAGAATATTCATACTCAGTTATGATATCCATGAACCGAATCATGATAATGATGATTTGATTTTGATAAGACAGTCGACAAAGCACACCAGCCAAAAGCCGTATCGCAAGTCGGAGGGAGGTAGCTGGTGTCAGCCCGGGTCAGCTGAGGTCAAACAGGGAGTAGGTACAGGTCTCGCGGGTTTTAGCGGTAGGTTTTGCACCTAGAAAATTTAGTGTACTTCAGGCTATATCTTCGTCGTCTTAAGCTTTTAAGTGTTGAAGATGCGATCGACTTGTTGGGTAACAAGCCGGCCATGATCGTGTAAAATGGCTTCATCGTAGATCGATTAGTTTCTGAGATATTACTGTATGCCTGGCCTATTAAAATACATTAGCCTGAGGGGTGTGGTAATAACACTGTGGTAATAACGAACTGGTGCTTGGTTGGCCTTGAACTATAGTATATATGGCCTTGAACTGGTGTAAGCAAAGTGACCACGGTCAAAAACGAATTACCAAGTCAACATTTTCGGGGATGTCCTCGTTCAAAAAACAGCTAAGAGCTTCGGTCTAGACAATTATTTTATCGTTGGCATAGGTACAGTAAAATACATACCAAACTCGGCCGGTGATAAATTTTCAAGAACTCAGTCCTTACTGATTTTTGAACTCGGCCTTCGGCCTCGTTCAAAAATTCAGTAAGGACCTCGGTCTTGAAAATTTATTTACACCGGCCTCGTTCAGTATTACATATAACCGGAAATGTAAAAGTGCATAACCTACCGCTTAATCTCGCGAGACCTGTACATGTATGCCATGGGAAGGTCGGTCGGCCAGGGAGGACCGGTCGGCGACCGGGGGTGTCCGGTGCCTGATCTAGGGGAGACCAGGGACCAGGAGACCCGAGGGTGCGGGCTTGCGGGCTACCCGTCGGAGGCGCCATACGCCGGTCAAACATCATAATGGCATCCACTGAATTAACAGCGGAGTGGCCGAGAACACCGTAAAATCCAGCTCGGGTGACGTCTGCTAAGAGAGTACCAATCCACGGACATGTGGAAATCCATACAAGGGGACGGACAGCCAAGTAGCGGCCTCCTCCCGCTTTCAACAAACACTTTCACTTTCATCTGAGTGGGTGGCCGCCGGTCGGGGCAGATGCGACTGCGGACCGGGGGGGGGGGGGCTTAGCGGGTGGATGAGATGCTAGCAGCGCAGTGGCCCCGTCCGACCGGCCGGCGGGTGCCGTCTCCGTTAGCCAGTCTGATGGAGGGGGGGGGGGGGGGGCTGAACCGGTCCACCGGCCACCGGTAATCGAGGGGAGGGGGCATCATCTGATCCAGTCGGGCCTGTATGTACACTGTACAGCTCAATAGCAGTTAACCGGTGTACTGAAAAATGGCAACCAAAACCTTATACATCTCATCTGAGGGCCAAAACGATGAAGAAACACATAGTTCTACCGCAGAGCATACCAAAACGCAGATTTCAACGAACATGACATTCAAAAATGTCCCGAGCCATTGAACACCATTGAACCCCGGTGAACTAGCGATTCTCGTCCCATGAAGGCACTCACCGGCTACATCCATGAGGAAGCACGTCAGAAGGTGAGGGTGGCTCTTCTCCAGCACGTGGCAGAACTCCTGAAACGCCGCAAAGCCTTTCTTGCTAAGCTGGCTCACCAGTAGCTCCGCCTTAGCCCTCCCCAAATCCTCGTTTACAAGAGCCTTTTCCTCCTCCACACCAAGAATGCCCTTATTCACAAGCTCAGGTACCACTTCGTCCACATTGAGGTCCTCGCATATCACGTCACGGTGCTTCTCCAACAGCATGCACACACCACGCAAGCCCGCCATCTTCGCGACTGGTTCAAAACAAAGCCGGCACACGGCGCACCACGCCGACACTCACCACCCGGCGGCGGCCCCTGCGACTCGCCCGGCACCCGACGCGGAGCCGCGACCCAGCGAGGAGGTCCAAGGGGCATGCCGCGCCAATGCCGCGCCATCTCTTGGCCGTTTATAAAACCCTAACTTTTGCAGTATGGGCTTTTTGTGGTCTACATTTTTTGGTGCTTTTAATATACATCTTACATTTATTTTAGGTTCATGACAGGTTTAAATTTCTAGCAATGGTTAAACATCGGAAATTATAAGTCAATTAATAGATAAAGGACAAAACAAAAAAATGAATATAAAGGCTCGAAAACTAGACATAAACTGCGCGACTATGGCAAAAGAGGAAATTCTAAGCAATTGTTCTATATCCAGCTACTAGCAATAGTAAGCATGCAAAGAAAACCTATGACGTCAAAATGATGTCATGATTGACAAAACTGCATAGTTCTTTTCAAGTTGTGAAGTCATACATTTTGCTGGTTCTGCTCATTTACCGTTCACCTACGTGTTCATGTAGATTTTGAACATAGTAATAATTATTTTAAAAAATTGACCAGCCCTTGACAGATAAAGAAATATTTTATTCAGGGGCTGAAAGGGTCTTAAATATTATTCAAATTGTGATACTTGTGGCTGAGAGCGATTATTGTGGCAAGTCTGAATGTCAGGGCTCCTTCAGTCAGTTTGTCTGTGCCTGTCAGTTTACCAAAGCAGCTCACAACTTCGACTGTTTGTCAGAGGATTTTAACATCCTGAAACAGAAAATTTCAACCACTTCAGGTCGAGGTAAGTTGGTTGAGGGAAGGTTGTGGTGGAAGCACCAAAAAGGGGAGGGCTATATAATAGAACACACCCTTGCAAGCTAGGGTGGTACGGCTATGACTAATTGGTTTGAGAGCTGGCTCAGCGGTCGGTGTCAGAGGGTCCGAGGGATCTGGTGCCGCGGTTCCTGTAGACTATGGCGTGATACAGGGCTCAATTTTAGGGCCAATTTTATTTTTGATATTTACAAATGATCTTACCTCATACTTGCCCGACAATAAGGTGGTGTGATATGAGGACGATGCACAGTTCATTCACCGAAGTGCTCCAAAGGACATGGCTATCCTCCAAAACAGTGCCCAAACCACTGTCAGCCGTGCTAACAACTGGTTTGTTCAAAACAGTTTGAAGTTAAATCTCCAGAAAAGTGATATCATTTTGGTTAGTTCATCTCACAGAAGGCTCAGTACTGAGAGTCTGAGACTGACTTTCAGATAAAATTTGATGGTGCCACACTTCACCTGGCACAGAAAATTAAAGGACTTGGTGTTGTGCTGGACAAAAATCTTACGTTCGAGGATCACATATCTGTAGTCATTCGTCGCTGCTATGCAACCCTGGGCGGTCTGTCTAAAATGATGCGTCCCTTCCAGAAGAAGTGAAAAAACTCCTCGTCCAAAGTATGGTTTTCCCACATATGTAGTACTGTGCCACTGTTTGGGCCGGAAATTTGTTTGGGCCTGATGTAATTTAACGCAACGTACCTAATCAACTTAAAAAAGTAATCGCAACCGGTGTCAGGATCGTGAAAAATTTGCGCCGCTTCGATCATTATAACACCGCATCTGACCGACATGAACTGGCCCACAGTAGAGCAGCTCATCACGGAGAGAGACGTCGCCATGTTGTACCGTACTCTGTCCAGCTCCTACGCACCAGACTCCCTCCCGATCAGATCGCATACAGAGCAGAGGTCTCCGAAAGAGAAACTCGTGCGTCGCTGGCTGGCGCTCTTAAGTTGCCTCGTGTTCGTACGGAGCTTGGTAGGCGGTCTTTCCCATATAGAACTGTCTCAACATGGAACAAGGTGCATGCTGTGGACAAGGAGGCCAGGACATAATTTTATCGGCAGGCGCTAAAGGCGTTTCACGTCAGGGCAATGTGCAACTTCAACTTAACTCACCGGGTGGGGGAGGGGGGTCGCTACTGTTTTTATCTCTTGTGTCATTTAGCATTTCTTTACATCTTTTTAGTGTAACCAGTAACTGCTGTGTATTTTTATGTTTTTACTAATTACTGTAAACTTGACACTTGACCCGAAAAGCCGTGGACATGCGGAGGTCATACGAAATAAATGATGATGCTGATGAATGATGATCAGGTTTTCGTGAATATCTAAAAAAGCGGTGCTGTTTTTAGCGCACCCTACCATGAATCTTTTCTGCACGACTGAAAATTTCAATTTCATTCAGACCTAAGGTCACTCAAAGTCAGGCCACCAGGGTTCCTGAGGTGAAGTGACCTCACCTCAGAAAAAGTTCTAATGCTTGCCATAGCTACACCGATGGACTGCTCGCTTTGAAACTTTTAGCATTTGATAAGGGCAACGTTTCTTGTGAAATGTATCTCAATTTTGAGGTAACGGTAGCGCAGGCGTTACCGATAGCTTCGGCGGTGTAAATAGTCAAGGTAGGTGTATTGTGAGTATATTGAAATATATGTGGTAGCACTGTTGAATTATATGATATCATTGGATTATGAAAAAGTTAAAACGTGTCAAGTGGGACAGGGTGGGACTCGGCCGGTTCCAGCGGGAAAAATTGGGACTCAGCCGACTACACCGGGGCACAATGGGATTCGGCCGATCCCAGCGGGACAAAGTGGGACTGAGCCGAAAACTACGGGACATAGTGGGACCATGGATGAAGTCTGGATAGGACACTCTCTATTCCCCAACACTAGCACCGGCGACCAAGCGGCCGCCCAGGTGGCGGAGCGCCGAAACATTGGCGGCGAGTGCGCGGGCGGCCGCCGCACCGGCTTGCGTGCTGAAAACGCGGTAATGGGGAGCGAAATTAGCGAGCTCGTATACGATTTCAGACACCCACACGGCCCACCAGCAGGGCATTGAAGTCCAGGAGCCCCAGCGAGGTGTTGGCTAATTGCTATGCCTCTAAAAATACTTTTTGTGCTGTTGTTTCTACTGTTTATCTTCTAGAAGTTTGATACTCGGGTTATTGGATGAGGGAATAAGTACTAACAGTTTGTAATATCTCGGAATTTTGATACAGGTATTCGGTACCCCTAGGTCTGGTCAATTATGAGGCCTCTTTTTGGACAAAAGTCGTAAGTCGCACTCTCAAAAGTAGGGTATTGGTAAACATGACACACTGAATCGAAAAAAATTGTGGCCCCCTTATGCCCTTGAGGTCATCTCAGGTCATGGCAGGTTTCCAACAGTTTTTTTTTTTACAATAATAATAAAGGATGACATGCAAGAACGATAAAAACACTTCAGGTGTGTTCAACTCAACGATACGAATGGACTCATGCAACATGACCTTTTCCATGACCTTGACCCGAGGTCAGATTTTGAAGTCAAAATTTGACCTTTTTAGGTCAAGTTATAATTTACTCAACGTGGCTGAATGAGAGAAATGCTATGCCGGCAAAATGAAGGGTGTACAATCGTGGTGTCGAAACTCAAGAGCTACTGCCTACTGCAGAGAATTTTCCGCAAGAACGTCAAATTTTGAATGTATATTCTATGTAGGCTAAACCGTTGACCGCAGGACAAAGCAGGCACCGGACCGATGGCAGTGCCATCTACCATGGTTGGACCTGGTCCTCACCAGGTGGCGCGGCTATCGGCCGTGGTACGCGAGAGGGCTCCACAGCTGCGCTGCATAGGTCCAGTGGCGCAGCCTGGTCGGGCAGGGTATTCGGCGTGATCAACGCTAACGTTACCCGGGGAGCCCATTTGAGCGTGAAATGACCAGCGGTATCCCGCCCGATGGGTGGCATAGTCATTAGTCACACCCTTTGGAAGTTTACCCAGCTCGAGTCTTGAGCGCTCAAAGCCACCTATGTGCATTGGCTGTCGTGTTTTCTTTTCGAACATTGAACGGTTTTGGCTCCACTGCGACCATTTAATAGGTCTGTGGACTGTGTCCGACACCAACCCTGAACAAACCGAGCTCTGTCGTGGGAAGTTTGGTGTCTAGAACACTGATCACCTACTTGGATGGCTTTGAACTGTTTGTGGCTAGTAAAATGACTTTTATTGCGAGGTCGAATGGAGTGGCGAATATTTCCTGACTGCCTAAAGCGCAGTGTGCGACAACCAAGCAGTTCATGACAGCCACGCTATAAACAACCCAGCAGTCATAAATCGCGTCATACCTGTAGCATAGAGCTGGGTAAGCATGACATATGGAGCGTGAAACACATAACCAAAGGGATATTGATCAAGCTGGTGGGCTACGGTTGGCCCCGGTGGGATAGCTAGTTAGGTGGGCTGACAATGTGCCTCGTGGTCGTGGCGAGCGATTTGTCAGCTACTCGACTCACCTTAGCAATAAGCAACCATATTATCTGCATGCCATGATTAAAATGATGTTCAGAGCAAAAGATGGTGCTTAGTGCCTGTCCTCTGTCAAAGCAAATATCCGCTACATTCGGGGCTCTGAGTATATCTCGCAATCAACTTTTGCGCGTTGCTGAGCAAAGAGAATACGCACTACGCAGTTCCCCGTAGTGATCGACTACTTTTTGGTGAATCATGCGTATCAGCGCTCATTATCAATCGTTGGTCATTTTTCTTAACGATATTGCGGCATTGAAAGAGAAACCAAAATAAGGTCCTGAAACTAGCTGCCGTACACCGTTGACCCGTGTCCCGTGACCCCCCCCCCCCCCCCACCTGTTTTCATTATTCCATCATTTCCAAGTGGGGATATTCCACTCTGTCCCAGCTCCGAACCATGCATATTTTTTAAACCTCTTCTACAGCAGACAGAGCTGGTGTCTCCGCACTGGTTTTTTTCTGAGCGCGTGGGCGGGTTTAATGCACCATGTCGCCCATCTGGTGCCCCATCCACCCCCAGGGAACGACCGTGGCGACTCTGTCAGGATGTTGGCCACTCGTTCTGACGGGCCCATTAGCCGCTCGGTGCCCACTGAACTGAACAGATGGGTGACCGGCGACCCAGATGGACATCACATGAACCTTAAGTGATGCTATTTCGGTAGGTGCAGTGATATTCCTACGGACACTGGTCTGTCATATCATAAAAATGACGAAGAAGTCGAAATTGACAGATGTTTAACCTGGTGAAATTAAAACATTTCCCCCCCCCCCCATTTTCCCCGCTATTTGAGCTAGTGTTGACATTGAATGTCTGCAAAATGAGCTCGGTTTCTTTTTTTCTGCGCGGCTTATATCGAGACGGCAGCCACTGTGGCGAAATGAAAGCCAAACTGCGTCGCCGTTTTGCTTTAAACGCTTGCCTGGTTTTTAAATCATCCAGGTAGTCCTCTCTCCACATTCACATCAACCACATAGTTGCCAAGGCAAACAAAGCTGTCGGGATTTTAATAAGTCGTTTTCTTGCCTGCCATCTGCGACAACAATTCCTCAAGAAAACCTTGAAGGACGACGCACAAAGCAAACATCCGTCTGATTCACATTGAGAGCTCCTGTGCATTATTTTACGACTGCATTTGGCTTCACTCACCTTTATAAGCAGTGCTTTCACATTCATTTATAATCATTTGAGCAGCAGCCCGACAGATCTCATCAAATGTCTTTCCGTCGCGTGTTTGAGCTGAAAAATTTTCATTAGTTGATTGCAGAAGGAGATAGCAGGGGCGTTCCACGACAAATCGACAAATAAAGAATTAAATTTGCACCCTCATATTTTATTCTTCGTTGAAAACTGGTGTAAGGGGTTGTGATGGGCGGGGAAGCCAGCTGTGGCAAGGATTTTTTTCTTCGAACAACGGTTTCCGAGATATAGCCTCGGGCAATTCCTGGAGTTCGCGCTGCAGCCCTATGTTTGGCGGCCTATAACTCAGAAACTATAAGTTTTTTTACGACAAAAACTTTATATGTTTCAACTCACAATCAACCAACAAAAATTTTGGCTATCTCGGATTTTCAATTTTTGAAAATTTTGATCACGTGACCTTTTGTCCTATTTCTCGAAGAGTGACCTTGATATTTTCCCCACTGAAAGTTGCAATTTTGTCTAATGACGATTAAAGCCTTATCAATTGCCATTCATATGCGATAATAAAAAAGTGGTTATCGCCCTGCGTTGACCTCAGGTCAGGTCATTTTTATGACCTGTCCATTATTACGAGCGGGAGCGACAGCGAGATCTCGAGAATAAAGCAAGATAGCGACAAGCGGTAAACGGTAAAGGGTACACACGGATAAGGTCTATAATTTTTACTGAGGTCATTTTCAGGTCAGATCAAAGATGACGTCACAGGAGCTAAAAGGAAGCCAAAATAGCGGCACTATATATATATATATATATATATGAAGTTTTTCTCGAATAACTTTCAAGGTATCCCAGCTAGGAACAAACTAATAGCACCATCGTGATCCTCTCGTCGATCCGCATCGAAACATATGCATGTTGACCTCGAAAGGTCGAAAGGTCAAAAGTTGACCTTAGATCACGTGACCTAAGGTCAACTTTTGACCTTTCGATCTTTCGAGGTCAACATACATATGTTTCGATGCGGATCGACGAGAGGATCACGATGGTGCTATTAGTTTGTTCCTAGCTGGGATACCTTGAAAGTTATTCGAGAAAAACTTCATATCTATGTATAGTGCCGCTATTTGACTTCCTTTTAGCTCCTGTGACGTCATCTTTGACCTGACCTGAAAATGACCTCAGTAAAAATTATAGACCTTATCCGTGTGTACCCTTTACCGTTTACCGCTTGTCGCTATCTTGCTTTATTCTCGAGATCTCGCTGTCGCTCCCGCTTGTAATAATGGACAGGTCATAAAAATGACCTGATCTGAGGTCAACACAGGGCGATAACCACTTTTTTATTATCGCATATGAATGACAGTTGATAAGGCTTTAATCGTCATCAGACAAAATTGCAACTTTCAGTTGGGAAAATATCAAGGCCACTCTTCGAAAAATAGGACAAAAGGTCACGTGATCAAAATTTTCAAAAATTGAAACTCTGAGATAGCCAAAATGTTTGTTGGTTGATTGTGAGTTGAACCATATGAAGTTTTATCCTAAAAAAACTTATAGTTTCTGAGTTGTAGGCCGCCAAACATAGGGCTGCAGCGCGAACTCCAAGAATTGCCCGAGGCTATATCTCGGAAACCGTTGTTCGAATAAAAAAATCCTTGCCACAGCTGGCTTCCCCGCCCATCACAACCCATTAGACCTATTTTAAGCAAAAAATAAAATATGAGGGTGCAGGGCACTTGTCGATTTGTCGTGGAACGCCCCAGCAAAGAGCTGTAATGTCTCTCTTGAAAGTATCGCGTCTCGAAAGTATTGCTATCGCTCCCTGGTTTGAGAGTTTCTGGCTTTTGGGGTTGGCCGCCTGGCCTGCAGTACCGGTTTCACGGGCCGGCCAGGCGGCCAACCCTCAAAAGCCAGGGGCTCTTCAAACCAGGAAGCGATAACGATGCTTTCGAGAGGCGATACTTTCAAGAGAGACCCACCACAACCCCCACTGTTATGCAGTGGTTTTCAGAAATTTGTGATAGATCATTGTGACTCTTAAGTTATTCTGATGTAGTGAAAGACCGTTAAACTTGTTTTTTTTTGGGGGGGGGGGGGCGTCAGTTAACCTCGCCCATGTAGGCTCAATTCTCACATCCCTCGTGTACCCCGCCTTTCCTTAGCCGTTTGGTCTGAGGAATCATAGAGGATTGCATGGAGGCATGGAACATATTTGATGGCTTCTGCGTGAACATGTAAAAAAGCAAAGCTGTCTGGTTCTTCGTATACGCTTATGTAATGCGTATTGCTTATCAAGGAGCTGATTCACTAATGCTTACGCTCAATAGACGTGTAATATGCCTTCTGCGTAGTACATAATTATATGTTGGGCTTTAGAGAACCTGATCAGGTGTCGAATATAGCAATGGGCACTCCAAGCATATCCCGTGCTTCCCTTTGCCTCTGATCCTCACTCATATCGAGATGAAAGACAAATGTTGTGGTGTCATTATCTACTGGAGTCCCCATCGGTCATATTCTCCTGAGGGTTGATGGCAGTCTCTGGCCACTTTCTCTCCTCTCGCCACCCAATTCTCCAGTCGATGCTGATTGGTCTTTGGCCAGACGTTTAAGTAATGCATAACGGCATGAACATTGAACAGCCTTCGTTAGAAGTTGGTATCGATTCGGTAACCTCTGGGTTAGGATAGGAAATCACGTTCAACTAAAGTCTGCGAAGCGTTCCTAAAATCTGTCGATTGAGGGTGGCCAGCTTGTTAAGTCAAAACACCCCCGAAAAGCGACTTGTTTTCTCCGTGGCCCAACCAGCCATGTCTCTTTGAAGTGCTGCCGTATGTCGATTCACCGTTGCGAGCAATAACCCCTCTTTTTAAGAGTCAGGTGTGGTCGGTTCGCAGTGTGTGTTTGCTCACACGATCCGACAAACAGCTTACTTGCAAACCCAGTAGCCCATTCTTTCCTCGGCGCAGGATTAGTGAAATGACGTGGCTGCCGCCTTGTCAATGGTGGAACGCATGTGAATAGATGGCGAGAGAGTCGTGAAAGGCAATTGTTGGCATCGCTAGGACGCCATTTCACTGAGCTTGCTTTAATTGGCGGCTTATTGATGTGACCGCAGTTTTATTTTTAGTCGCGTTACCTAGATGCTCTCCCAGCTCATTTCGTACTTGCTTCAATCTTCTTGAGTGACTGAGTATAGCTGACCTATCCTTCGGATTTTCTGCGTCCATATTGATGGACGTGACGATTTGTAGTCAGTGCACATCTGCACATCCAAAACTCTATTAAACCCGAACTTACCTTTGACGAGTTAGCTGCGTTGGGTGACGAGCAGACCGCAGCAGAGACCGGTGCTAGGAGCGCGGTCCGGAGCTGATGCGTGTTTTGCCGACAGGGCCCGGTGCACCATCGCCTACTGTTGGTACGGCGCGGCGTGAGGCGGTCTACACACCACCATGGCCGCGCGCCTGCGGGACCTGTACAGCCGGCTGCTGCAGCGGCACCCGGTCATCGTCCAGTCCGTCCAGGCAGGTGAGGTCTCAGTCCAATCCAGTCCAGTCCGCCCAGGCAGGTGAGGTTTCAGTCCAGTCCAGTCCGTCCAGGCAGGTGAGGTTTCAGTCCAGTCCAGTCCGTCCAGGCAGGTGAGGTCTCAGTCCAGTCCAGACGGGCAGGTGAGGTCTCAGTCCAGTCCAGTCCGTCCAGGCAGGTGATGATGCAGTCCAGTCCAGACGGCCGGGCAGGTGAGGTCTCAGTCCAGTCCAGTCCGTCCAGGCAGGTGAGGTCTCAGTCCAGTCCAGTCCGTCCAGGCGGGAGAGATCAGTCCAGTTCAGTCCATCCAGGCAGGTGAGGACTCAGTCCAGTCCAGACGGGCAGGTGAGGTCTCAGTCCAGTTCAGTCCGTCCAGGCAGGTGATGATGCAGTCCAGTCCAGACGGCCAGGCAGGTGAGGTCTCAGTCCAGTCCAGTCCGTCCAGGCAGGTGATGATGCAGTCCAGTCCAGTCCGTCCAGGCAGGTGAGGTCTCAGTCCAGCCCAGTCCAGGCAGGTGAGGTCTCTGTCCAGTCTGGGGAAGTCTCAGGTCATCGTCAGTCCGTCCAGGCAGGTGAGGTCTCCGTCCGTCCGGGCAGGGGATGTCGCTCACTACTCGGGTCACTGTCCAATCCGTCTAGTCTGAGGAGGTCACTGCTCAGTCCATCCAGGCAGATGAGGTTTTAGTGCAGTCTGTCCAGGCAGATGAGCTCTCAGCTCAGTCCGTCCGGGCTGGTGAGGTAATCGTCCAGTCCGGAAGGTTACCGTCCAGTTCAGGAAGACACCTTTTAGACCAAGAAGATCACACTCCAGACCGTCCACTGTCAAGGCATGTAATGTCACTATTCAGCTGGGCTCGTCAGATGTCTCCATTTGTACATGTGTAATGTGTATGCATTAGAGCCTATCTCAAGGATCATGTGTTCGGCATGTTCGAGTACAGCAAAGGCCGTGTGCCGTATGGCGTAGGCACGTGCGGATTAGATCCAATACTTTCCTTGCTTCATTCTTTCGCGTAGCGGAAACGTTCGCAATACAGTCACTCTCTAGCTATGTTCACAAAGAAATTTCTTCGTTCTAGCTCACAATTGTACTATTTTTACCTACATGAAGGAGGTATTTCAATGTAGAATGAGCGCGTCGCGCCATTCAACATCGATAAGCGTCTGTGTCGGCTGCTGTCTGCACAGGCTACAGTGCAGTTTCAAAGTTAGCCTTTATATCGCCAGATGGTATGGAATTCACTCGGTTTCGGTTGCTGCGCCTTTGTGTCCCATATTTTCCGTGAAGTTTATTTAGCTCCATTTAGGTAGTCTTGAGTCTAAAAGATTTTCCACAAATTAGAGCACACTGTCAAAACTCTATTGTATTCACGGCCTATTCACGCACTATTCGGACTGCACTCTGCACTCTGCAGGGTATCAAAAATGTTCAGCTCGTTTAGCTTGAATAGTGAAAAAGGTTTACCATAAGCATTATCTATTGTTTATCGGCTAGTTCCCGATATTCCGAGTGCTAATCTATTGATGCTTTGATGGCGTGGAACATTTACAACTACATTTGTAGATGTTGAGATGTTATGTGTGGAACACGGATTTTTTTTTTTGAATTTTTACTTTTAAATACTCTGTACTTATTTGAGAACTTAAGATTATGACTTTCTTCAAATAATGAAGCTGTTTCTCGGACGTCTGTCAATCCTCTCCTCCATTGCAAATCACTTAGCGGATAATTAACTAACTTCCCTTTTAGTGACGCTGGCGAACTGAAAGCACGCATTGTCCTTCCGACCATTTTTGTCTGAGACAAACTCGAACAATGGAGCAGGCCCGACACAAACAGATCAGGACGAGCTCTGAGATGCAGCGGGGGCTAATTGTCGTCGAACTACACATCTCAGACGTGGCAGAGGATCAGCTCTCATCAGTCACTGAATCATTTTAGTTGGTGGTTGTATAGCATTCTGCACGAAACGCCAGTCCAACTCAAGCTACTAGTCTTTATGGCTCCCGCTGGCCACTGGGTCATGTCGCGTGCGCTCCCCAGAGATGTGTCCGGGGATAGACCGACGTGTGTATCATGATCAACGATGTCGAAAGCTATGCTCAGTTCAGTCCTGTCCTGGGTTATCCCCCCCACTTCCATCTGGAACCGCCACTTATCCCCCAATGACCGTCCTTGTGTCCCTATGTGTCCCTGATGGCGACCGACCATCCCCCTATTTCGGCAGGGACCCTGACTCTGACCGTCCCTCTGTTTCCCCAGTGACCCTGATGGTGACCATGGCCGTTCCAATGTGACCTCAGGCGCCTTGATGATGGCCGTCCCTCTGTGACAGTCAGTGACCCTGACCCAAGGAGCCCTGGTAGTGACTCTGACCGTCCTTCTGTTCCCTCAGGGGCCCTGATGGGTGTCGGAGACTTGTTGGCTCAGACGGCTGTCGAGCGGAAACGACCGTCAGAGATCGACCTACCGCGGGTGGGACGCTTCTTCGGCATCGGACTCTGCCTAGTGGTGAGTGTTTGATGACGTCTCTAGGGTGGAAAGTGACGTCACGGGGTGCCACTGCTGCGGGACCGTGACGTCATCTATCAGCCCATGGATCCATGGGTTCAGGATACGCAATGCCATCCGAACTTTTCCATGGTCGGTATGCTAATGATCATCAAATTTCTTATTTGGCATTGTGCCATATAATGAAACGCATTTTGGCAAACAGCCATACCAAAATGGCATGGTCGTCTGGCATTTTCCCAACCACTAGCAGTCAATGCCGTGTGCTGAGGAGCCAGGACTGCGGTGCTGTCTTTCTTTTCCTGACAGCGAGACGAATAGTCGCTCAGCATCGTCTGGCAGCTACACGCGGCAGCTAGCGAAATGCAATCAATGCTGCTGTATTTGCACATTGTCAGCGCGGGCCGGTCCAGCTCCTGTGGGAGGCAGGCCGCAGTTGTTATAGCATTTGAATAGGGGAGGCTGGGAAGTTGCTACCAATGTTAAACGTTTTGTTGTGCGTGGTGTGAAATCTCAAATGAAGCAGTGTATTTAAATAAGTATGGAACTACTCACCGTTTTCCTCACCCTCATTTGTTACCACCTGCCCACTCCTGTTGCGTGGGCCCTGTCTAACTCTGCCAGCCAGGCGCTCTATAACACTTGGTAACCCACATACTCTAACCAGATCGTGTCGACCGTGTCAAACTTTCCGCTGAGACTTGTTGCCCAGTGCCCACTCGTGATTAGCGTTGTGCTTTGACCTGCACTGCCAGTGGTGTGTGGGCTGGTTGAAGTAACCCACACAAGCACTCTATACAGCCCGGTGAACAGTCTGAACTTGCACAGACATATCACGCCACATAGTAGGAGCATGTCGCGAAAAACTCAGTGTGAGACGCATTTGGCTCGTACATACTTTTAGGTGTAGCAGCCCAAACTGCAGGAGCCTGGAGCAGCTCCTTTAGGGCAGGGTCGGTAACCCCGGATATGAGATTCGAAAGCAGCAGGCGGGCCGGAGAATGCTATGGTTACAATTTGCTGCAATCTCGTGCAATATTTTGGAAATATGATGGCGTTATCAATTGAGTTTTAGTTGGGACATGCGACAGCTCACATGCTTTGCCCTGTGTCATATGATGAAACGTACCTTTTTAAGACGGACTTTGGCAGAAGAAAAAGGTAGTTTGAAAATAGAAAGAATGTATCCATTTTGTTATCTGATCAGATACCAGTTTGCCTCCAATATCATTTTCGAAGCAGGTGAAATGTGTGTAGGAAGAACTATTGTGGAAACAGCTTTTGTGTCGAAAATATCGTTTTCTGAAGAAACCGCGGGCCAGAGCACAATGTATGTTGCTTATACCAGCCGGCAGCCGCGGGCCGGACGCCAGGATGGTCGTGGGCCCTAGGTTGCCAATTCCTGCTTTAGCGGGCGAAAGTTCGAGAGGTCTCGAGGCACCTTCCTCTCAGGTTTCAATATTCCTGAGGATGTCCGTTGCTGATGATTTTCCTCTCACTGAAAGTGATTTGTTTTCCTTCAGGGAACCGTGCCGTTTCTGTAATAAATTGATATTTGCTGGCTGGCACCTCAGAGACTCAGTCTGCTTTAGCTTTTACAGCGTTCTTCAAGTCCAAACAGACTTTGCTATGTCGCGTTGTGATTGGGATTTCGTGCTGTTGTCTTCACTCTTCACCCGTTAACATAGACACGAAATGTTCCAAAGTGCATAGTGAAGTTGGAGTGATTAGATGATAACGGACTTACGACGCATCCAGAAAGAACTGTAAAGACAGACGCGTGTCCTACTCCAGAAATCTTATCTAGCAGCTGGTGATTAAATTTGCATGTTTAAAATCCGGAGGAGGCTGCTGAGGGACGCGTGAGAGGTGCAATAAATGCAAATGGCTGCTGTGAGCGCTACAGGTTTGCTGAGCTTAATCATTATTATCAGGTACAATCAGCCCTGCTCGAAACATGTTTCTCAAATCTCAATGTTCGTTATAGGGTTGGGGAGGGGTTTGTGTCATCATAAGCATACGTGCCTGGGCTATGCTGGGCAACGGACTGTCAAATTGTGCATCGGAGAGGGGGATAGGTGATGGAATATTGTCCCCGGCTCTTCCGAAGCAAATGCCGTAGAACAGTTGTAATGGTTTCGAAGGCGTTTAACCCGCGCACCGACGGGGGGGGCGGATATCCGCCCCCCCTGAGGTTTTTCGCGAATAGCGGGAAAACCGCGGCGCTACGCGCCGCGAAATTTGGTATGACTATTCCCTTATCAATTTTACACATGGTGTGCAAGTTTGAACCTCCTACCTTTCAAGGTCAGGTCACCAGGTCACTTTGAATGACCCAACCTCAAGTCACTTTTTTGCAACTTTGTCACCGTGCCAGAGCTACAGTAGATGTCGGATGCCTTTGAAAGTCGCAGGATGTTATTAGGTCATTAGTAGCTACAATTTGTATATCTCGGAATTTTGATATCGGTGACCTAAGGTCAGGTCAATTTCGCGACCTCCCCATTATAAGTCAATGGGGGAAAAATCAACTCCCTGTTTTTACCACTAAAACGGGTCGGAATGGCCCCATATACCATACATGACTTCATATACGATCAACCTTCACTACCTTGAGGTCTGTTTTGCTGTTGGGCAGCTGTGAGGTCATGTGACGTCATCAAAGGTCACCAAAGGTTTTTGGCCAATAACTCCGTACAGGAACAAGATACAGACGCGTGGATGGTCTCATTGTGTTCAGCTCGTCAAGACGCATCGAATGATATACATGATGACCTCGAGGTCACGTGACCTGAGGTCAACCTTTGACCTTGACCTTTCGAGGTCAACATATATATCATTCGATGCGGATTGACGAGAGGATCACGATGATGCCCTTAGTTTGTTCCTATCTTGACTAATTCGAAAGTTATTCGAGAAAAACTCTCTCCATATTTAGCGCCGCCATTTTGGCTTTTTCGACCCCTGTGACGTCATCTTTGACCTGACCTGAAAATGACCTTAGTAAAAATTGTAGATCTTGACCGTGCGTATCCGATGCCGTTTACCGCTTGTCGCTATCTTGCTTCGTTCTCGAGATCTCAGGGGGGGCGGTCATCCGCCCCCCCCCCCGTCGGTACTAAGTTGGCGCAGACCCCCGTCGGTGCGCGGGTTAATCAATATTTGATTCCTATAGAAATAGCGATATCGCGAAATCGTGATGTAGAATCTTGAAATTGCCGCCTGCCGGTTTGTACAAGGGTCAAGAGGATGCCGCAGAACGCTTCATTTTCTTTGGAAATGTAATGTGTTGACCGAATCATATTGCTCATTTTTTTCTAAGTTAGCGTTCAATCATCAGCAATTCGTGTGAACGATTCCACAAGACCGCGTTATTATATCAAAACTTTTTTGTTGATGTGCAGTTTCTACGAGACTCTAGTTAAGCGCTGATTTCCCCAGGCACGTGTAAAAAAGAAAACTTCGTAGTAAGCTAGCAAGTGATTGATGACTTTATCCAAGGTGGTATCATTGATGGTCGTACCTTCAAAACAGATATATTTTTTGCAGAAAATATATAAAACTTCCTTTAAAAAATGTGCTGAAATTCGGGGATATGCCTCAACAACTGATCACACACCCCTGAACTATTATAATCTACTCGTAATTGAAGTTAATCCGATTTGAACAGATGGAACCAGAAAGGCCAACGTGTGAATGTGTTTCTGTTTGAGCTTATATTCAAAATAAGGCGACCTGTGTACGTATGTCCTCTTATGCGAGCTGGTAAGGTAGCATGCAAGGCCTCTGGCTTGGCTTATGATAGCAATCCGCATACTGCTGGTGATTTATAACCACCTCAATTTGTTTTTGGGTATGTTGTCTTTAAATATCGGATCGTATTGATCAATGGAAAATGATATCATTTTCGTTATCTGCGGCCCTTGTCAGGTGATGTAACGCATCATTTTCATAGAATCGATTACAACATATTCGATATATTAACCGTGCGATTCGTGAGTTCCATTTTCTATTTGGACCTCGCCTTCTTTGTCACCAATGACAGTGTTTGTCGTGCTGCAGGTGACAGCAACAGTGCATCGGGGCTGGAACGGCTCACAAACTGCATGGCAACTTTAGGTACAAACTTTTCGACACACACAATAGCAGAAGCTCGATACGAATCTACTCCATTAGTTTGCTTGATGCTGGCGCTTGTGTTAATCCACTTAAAGACACTCCCAGTCGAAAATTTAATTAAGGCATTTATGATATCGCTGATGATTTTAGATATTTTGGCTAATATGTTTGAATGTTTTAGTTAACATCTATTTTTCAGTTTTTTTTAGTAGAATTAATTGATCGAATCGAAAAATTTTGTAAGTTTTTGCGAACTTATCTAAAAACTGCATTGATTCGGAACTTTCTACGAGCATACGAATGTTGATGTAATGGATAACCGTTCTATGAGACACCCTGCCCATCAGCCGTGCCCTTAAAGTATTTGCATATCTCGATGCTTCATAATAGAAGCTGGTTATAAACTTCAGTGCAGTTTTGACAGTTAACCCGCGACCTGGTGGGGGGGGGGGCTATTTTTTGCCCCCCCCCCAGACTTTTCGGTATATCTCCAGAACCGCTGCGCCGATCGTCACCAAACTTTCAGTACCCTCCCGGACATCAATTTTACACATTGTGACCAAAAATTTTTCCAAAGGCTATGATAGGTTGGCCGGAAATGACGTCAGAGTGACGTCATGTTCCGCCGTTTTCGACCCAAAAAAGGGTTTCGCGGGAAGAGCTGTCAGGCCTATAGCTTTGCAAATACAGAAAAATGATAAAGACATAAAAGCTGTAGATTGGACAGGGCTACAAAACTGCTATCTCGGATTTTTGAAATTTTTTGGATTTTGACTCCCAAAAATCAAAAAATAAATTTATTGGATATAATAATCGAAAAATCCAAAAAGTTTTTCGAATTTCGCAAAACCGGAATATATGTGATAGTCCTGACTGCCTTC